CATCGTGGGGGGACACGCCCCGACTTCAGACAGAGTGTAGGATAATGTGTACTTACGAGCAGGAACGGGCGGCCTGGGCCTCCCTTTCTCCTCTGACTCTGCCTGGACGGTGAGCCCCGAGGACAGGGACGGTGAGCCCCGAGGACAGGCACCTGCTCTGTCCTGGGCACAGTCAGGGCTCTTAGGGACCCGCTGGATGAACAGTCGGTCAGCAGATGGCCACTCGGCCACCTGGTGCTTGCAGCAGCCCCTATGCAGACAGTCCCTCCCGGGGCCGCATGCACCGCTGCCCTTCTGACCCTGTGGGTCGCTGTCACCTGCTCCGTGGATGAGGATGGAGCCTTCTCTGTGCCTGGCCTGTGCCCCTGGCCCAGCTTCTTCCTGAGTTTCTCATCCCCTCGGTTGGGGCCATTCCCAGGGACAAGCCAGTTCCTCCTGGGGTGCCCGTCACGTCCCTGCCTCTCCCCAGGCTGCTGTGGTGCAGGCCCCACGCCCCTGGAGCTGCCTGTCCAGCCTCGCTGGGCACCTGGGCTTCTCCACCATCTGTGGGACTCGTGGCCTCCCGGGTCCGTGTCTGCAAGTGGGAGCCCGGTGCCTTGAAAGCTGCCTTTGCGCAGACGTGTGATTACAGGGTGTCCTGCCCCCAGGTGAGAGGCCCGTGGAAGTCGGTCAGGGGAGTTCCTGCAGCTCTAAAGGGGTTTGGAGCTGGCTCCTGCTTTTGGATCTGAGCCTTGTCCCTGAGTGGACTGTCCAGCCCGGAAAGCTTATGCTTTCCAGTGCTTCTGTGTCTCCCCGACCCCATCTGTTCTTCTGACCACCTGCCCAGAGCCAGGCCCCACTGGGCACTGAGCTCTTGGGGGTGCCTGGGCAGCCGCGGAAGGGCCTCCGGCCTGTGTTTGGTTTATCGTGGAATTTCACACCCCGGGGCTGCAGGAGCTGCAGACACCACAGGGACCGAGCCCTGCTCTCCAGGCGAGGGGCCCTGAATCCCTGAGGAGATGCGATTTTGTAGGAAACCAAGTGAGGAGAGTGTGCAGGCAGGACCTGGGAGCTGGCCCGGCACCAGCGTTCCTCAGGAAGCTGCGGGCGCCCTGCCTGTGCCCTCCTGGCTCCTCCCCCAGAGGGCCTCTGCACTCGCTGCCCCTGCCTGTGGGACGCTCTCCCCACACTCCCCCTTCAGTCTTTGTTTAAACCCCACCAGGTGCTGTAGAGACCTTTCTCAACCTCCCTGGAGAGAAGGTGTGCACCCCCCCCAGGTGCACCCACCTCACCTGGACGCCTGTCACCTGCCCCACGGGGGTCTCAACCAGAGGGGCTGCTCCTCACCAGGCTGCGCTGTTCTCTGCTGCTCCGAGTCCGAGCAGTGCCTGGCCCGTCCTCAGTGCTCGGTGCGTGGTTGCTGGACGAATCACACGCCGTGCGTTCAGCTCCTCACAAATGACCGCGGTTCACAAGCACCGAGCTGTGTCCCGGGCACTGTGCTCTGTGCCGGCATCGCAGATGAGAGTGTGGGCTTTAGGGACCCCAGTCCAGGCAGCCCGACCCTGATGTGGGGTGGGCAGGAACTCGAGGAGAGCCAGGGAACGGGGAAACCATTGACTGGCTGGGGGGCTGGGAGCAGCCAGCATCCCTGGGGGCTGCCAGGAGTCTGCTTTGTAGTGTTTGGAGTTCAAGGTCAAAGGCGTGGCACGCATAGACGTCCAGCAAGCTGTGTCTCTGGAAATGACTGGCAACGTCTTGACCAGAGTCCAGGGCTCTGGGCTCTGGACACCATGGGGTGTTGAGACTGTGTGAAGGTGACAGAGTAGGAGGGGTGTTGTTCATCAGAAGGTGCATCGTGCTCCCTGCCCCTACCCCGACTGTGTGCTCGTGGGGTCAGTGTCCTGTGACCCTCTGAGTGCCTGCGTGGGGGTGGGGGTGATGGCACTGAGGTGACAATGACGATGGCAGCTGAGGTGACAGTGTCCCCACAGAGTGAGTGTCCAGGTGGTGGCCCCACGGCAGAGCCTAGCAGGGATACAGGGTCTTCCTGACTCTGCCCCAAGCCCGTCCTCACACAGCACCCCTCATTCACTTCTGTTTATGCCGTGGTGCCCAGCGCTCACCGGCAGGTGCCATCCTGACCCGCCTCGTCCTCCAGCCGTGCTGTACCCTCCCCCTTGGTGTCTTGCTGGTGGTTTTCCCCAGGGACCCAGAGTCCCCGTGGCCGGTGGCTCCTGATGTCCCTGAGGGTCTGCTTCCCCAGCCTTCAGGTGGAAGCTCCTTTGCTCATCTGCTGGCACGTGTCCTAGGCCCGAGAGCCGTCAAACGTGGCCCGAGAGCTCTGCCAGCGTCCTGGGGCCTGTGCTGGGATCTCTGCTGCGTTCATCTGGAGGCCCCGAGCTGCTCCTCCGCACTGACCACTGACCGTGCAGTTGGTTTCATGCCTCTTTCCCTTTGGGCCCTGCTGCCTCAGGCTGCCTGGTGCCTGGGAGACCATCAGCACTGAGGGACGGAGCAGGACACTGGGCCGGGCAGGATCGGCCGACACAGCGGGCTGTGACCTCCCAGTGGACCCTCAGATGCGGCTCCAGGGCAGGCAAAAGGACTGTCTGGTGTTGGTGGTTTCCCTGTGGGTCCCCCTGGTTGTAGGGTTTCAAGTGTAGGGTTACCTTAGACCAGAGTGGTTCTGATCCCATACAGAACTGAGTAGATGCTTGTTGCTGCCTCACAAGACCACACGCCAACTGTGTGTGTTGACGGTGGTAACTACCATTGTCTAGGAAAGTCCCTCTGCTGCCGGGCTGCGGGACAGATTTGTAAATTCAGAGTGAATTACCGAAAGACATGCTCATTTCGCAGAAGCCTCCAGATTGGGCGACACTTGCTAAGATTTCAGTTGAAAGCCCTTGAATAGAGAAGATGGTGAGGAAGTTGGGGCTGCTTGCAGGTTTGAAAGAAAAAAATCGCTGTTTTAGAAAAGCTATATTTAATTTTAGATTTGAGTGGGAGAGCTAAGAAGAAATAGCTTATCTCTAACAGTGAGCGCGATTCAGGAAGGACAGTTTCCCCCTATCTATCACTATCCTAGTGTCACCCGGGTGGATGGAGAGCATCAGAGTCAATACCCCTGAAGCCTGAGGTCAAGACCATTGATGTTCACACGTTAGTAAGAAAAAGACCTGTGAGTCCCATGTGAGTTTGGGCACAGGATTTATGTGGATGGCCAGTCACACAGAAGCAGCCAGATGCCCAATAAAGAAAACACTCCTAAACGTGAAGCTGCTCCTCGTGTGTGACCTGTGCTCCCCCATCCCCCACAGCCACCCCCCACTGTTGACACTGTGGATTCCAGCCACAACGTGGCTTTGTCTCAGAGCAGCTGTGTGTGCGACAGGATAGAGTGACAGCGACCGCTCAGGATGCCAGCTTCTTCTCTTTCATTTTTGCTTTGAGATAGTTTAACCATTCGAATTAATTATGAAACAACTGTTTATCCCTCATTTGAATGCAGTGTATGATTTGGACCAGAAGCTGTTTTATATTTAGTGAAGGTGTTTGCTGATGGGGGAAGCAGAGAGGACATGTTTCCTCGGGTCGATTTGCTGGTTTGCATCTGTGGAACGTCGGGTCCCGGCGGATGCTCTCAGCTCTCTCCAGCCGTCTGTGCTGGTGGGGTTTCCCAGTGGAAGGACCCCTGCGAGAATCACTGTGCTTTTTCTAAGTTGTTATCTCTTCAAAAAGAAAAAATGGTAAAATTAGATGTACCTTTTTTCTCTCGCCACGTCAGGAGCAAGTGGCCCCAGCAGACGTGAGCTGTCTCCACGTGGCTCTGTGGAACGGCTTCCTGCCTGAGGTGTGGGGGCTGCAGACTGCCCCAGGGCTTCAGGGGTCCGCCTCCCGGTTTTAGAGTGTTCTGTCTCTTCTAAATCAGGATTCTCAAAAACAGCTTGTTTTATAATATTTAATAAGCAACAGTAAAAACAAAAGATTGGCTTCCTGGGCAGGGTTCTCCTCCCCGGGCCTCACGTTGCCCTGGAGACCTTTCTGCACTTTGTGCATCTCTTGTCTAATCTTCCCTGGGACGATCTTGGAGGGGACCAAGACCAGCTGCCTAGGATGGCGTTTGAAGAATGCATGAGACCGCACCCCAGAAACCACTGCTCCCTGTGCATCTGAACCCCTGTGCTTGCTTCCTTTCGAAAGATGAGCCGTCACTCCCCTTACCATGGACTGCAGCTGATCTGCCAGGTGGGTGTTCATAACTCCTGTCTCAGGAATGCCCTTCCGCTGGGGAAGGGTTGGTGCACCTGTCTGTCTCCACCACTCCTTGCCCCTCCGGGGGTTGGGCATGGGCCCTTCTCTGTGGCCGAGGGGTGAGTGAGGGTTCTGGAGCCAGCCCTGCAGAGATTTGGGGAAGGACCACCCTGCAGAGGTGCTATGGCAGGGCACCTGGTGTGGTGGGAGAACGAAGGGAGGCTGGTGTGTCCAGGGAAGGCTGGGCGAGGGGGAACCTGGGGTCTCGGGGTGACTCGGGAGCCACTCAGAACTCTGAGTACTGAGGGGCCTGTTCTGGCTGTGCCTGGAGGGCCAGGGTGGGCGCTCCCATGTTGCACTTCGGAGAGGAGGGGAAGGGAAGCAGATTCTGGATTTGTTTTGGAGAGGGAGCCAGTGGGAGTTGGTAAGAAAAAGAGGCGGCAGATATGATTCCAAAGTGTATGTTGGTAGACCCGAGGGGTGGAGCTGCCCCCTGAGGGCGAGCAGGGGTCCGGGGGCTCAACATGGGTGTCATTTGTGCCTGACGGTGGGTCAGCCATTGAGGGTACACGTCTGGAGCCCCAGGCAGCAGCCCCAGCTAGGATGTCAATGTAGGAGGCGGCGTCCCCGTGTCAGGCCGATGTCCAAGGGTGTGGGGTGCACAGAGGAGGGAAGCCCCTTCTGTCCTGGCTGCCCCTCAAACCTTGGCTTTTGCTCTGACCAGCCGGCTGACCTTGGGAAGCCGCCCGGCCTCCCTTGCTGGGCCTCAGTTTCCCCACCTGTCCAAACCCATCCACAGTGTGTGTTTCCTCTCTGGGGTGTGGACCGCACCTGCATCCCTGGCAGGATTCTCCCTGCCTCCCCCTCCTGTGGCCTCTGGGGTGGGCGGCCCGGCCCTGCTGTCTGCATCGCCCCAGCCAAGCCTGGCTCGTGGCGCATATGCCATTTGGGTGGGTTAGCTGATTCAGGCAGTTGGCTCGCCTGCTGCATTGTTCTTGGGACCACTTCCTTGCAGCCCCACGAGGCCTTTCGTTCCGAGAGGCATTCCTTGAGCTGGTGAGCAGTTCCCTTTGGTTCCTGCCTGCCTTTGGGGCCCCTCTGCCCCTGCTCTGGGTTTCTGGGCTGGGGGCTGTGCAAGGCGGCCCTGTGCCCTGGGGTCCCATCCTTGTGGGTGTGGGGACACTGCAGATCAGAATAGCTTTTGTCCCTTACACTTTAATCTGAGTGCCCTTGATGCCAGCTCAGTGCCCCCCAAGGCCCTGTGGTCACTGTGGTTGTAGTACCCCCGTGATGCAGGCTCCACCAGCCCCCAGGCCCCACACCCATTAGTGACCTGTCCACTGTTCGTGTGCTCACCTGGGTCTGCCATCCCTGAACACTGCCTCCTCAGATGTTGTCAAGTAACTTCTCGGCATGGAGGTGTAAGTCCTGCCTTGTGTCTCACCTTCTATACTGATCGTCCCCTGGGATGTGTCCCCTGTGCCCCATGTAACTTGCAGCTCCGCCCTCTGCTGGCCCTGGCGTCTGACTGTCACACAGGCCACCTTCGTCTCACCTGTCCCAGGGTGGCCCCCCTGGGTGGCGTCCAGCTCTGCTGCCACCGCAACACTGCCATCAGCAGTCTCTGAGCGCCCGCCCGTGGGATCAGCTCCCCAGGGAGCTGGGCCTGGGCCTGCCAGCTGGCGGGGGGTGCCACGCCCCGCTCCGCCTGAGTCCTCACCTGCCACGCAGAGGCCCCCGCACCGTCCTCACGGAGCTCGGCGGGAGAGGAGCCGCCCTGAAAGGTGGCTGTTTCCAGAACCTTGGGAGCACATGGCCTCTGCCAGAACCACAGGACCGGGCTCTGCATCCAGCCCCTTGTGGCGACAGCCCAGAGTTCGGGCCACGTAACATCCAGGCTGATGCCTCTGAGGGTCCACCTTTGTTCCACTTACTTGTCTCTTACCCATCAACCGTCAGGAGAGGTCTTGGGTGGTCGATCCGTGCTCGCTGTGTGTGAGCACCAAGTCTCTTTCTGTTTCTATTAGCATGATTTCAGAAACTTCCTGAGAAAAGAGAGAACAGGTAGAATGTGGCTGCAGCCCATGTTTTCTGTGGCCAGCAGGCACTTGTGTGTGTGTGTGTGTGTGTGTGTGTATGTATGTATGTGTGCGTGCTTGTATTTTCTTTAATCATGTGGGGGAGTGAATTTCTCTCTAGTGTATTTGTGAATGCATTTTCACGTTCCTTTGGGATGGTGGTAACTATTTTTTTCCACAATTAAAGCACACTGGCGTTGGAAGGCACCTTCGGGAGAGTTGTCCCTGCAACCTGCCCCCCATCGTGCTGACTAGCAATCGGAAACCGCTGGCACTGCGGCAGAAACATCCGCTGTCTGTTGTGACGCGGTCCACTATGTCCTTCGAGCTGCCAACGCCCTTTCCTTTTGGAGCGTTCACACGGTGCCCCACACGCTCTCCTGGCCGCAGATGTCGTTTTAGAGTCTTGCATGGCTGGCTGGGGTCCCTCAGCACAGCATCACTCCGGTGTGCCTGCTCGGAGGGCACACGGCATTGCGGCGTCCCAGCTGGCCTGTCCACTCCTGGTGAGGGCATGTCTCACCACAGTGACCCAGCCTGGCACAGGCACAGCGTGGTGGAGATGAGAGGGACCCCGTGTGCTCCAGAGATCCGTGTCTAAGTGTCGCATCGGGGTCCATGTTGGTTTTGGAACACAAGGCCCTGGGACTAGCTTGCACACAGCTGATGCCAATGGTCTCGACAGCCTTGCAGAGAAGGGGGTGTGATTGCCGGGTGCCTCTGAGCAGGGCATTGTAACCGCAGGTGCCTCACTTAGAGAGTTCTGGACCCATGGACCAGGTGAATTCACTGCGAATTGAGGAATGTTTTACATCTAAGATGAGAATTGTCGTTTTCACACTTCTTATCGTGGGAAATTTGAATATACACCAAATGTATTAGCTGGGGCTGCCGTAACAACATAACACAGACCCAGCGGCTTAAACATTAGGAATTTATTTCTCACAGTCTTGGAGGCTGGAAGTCCGAGATCAAGGTGTGGGCAGGGCTGGTTCCTCCTGAGGCCTCTCTCCTGGACGTGTAGATGGCTGTCATCTCCCTGTGTCCTCACGTGGTCATCCCTCTGTGTGTGTCTGTGTCCTGATCTCCTCTTCTTATAAGGACACCGGTCCTGTGGGATCGGGGCCTACCCTAGTGACCTCATTTAACCTTAATCACTGCTTTAAAGACCCCATCTCCAAATACAGTCACATGCTGAGGTCCTGAGGGTCAGGATTCTAACATGTGAATTTAGGAGACATAATCCAGCCCTAACACCAAAGCAGAGAAAGTGTAATGGGCCCCGTGCCCCCCACCCCCAGCCTCAACAATCACCAACTTGTGGCAACTCTGGTCTCACGCACCCTCTCCTCCCACACCCAGTGAGTTGGAAGCAGAGCTCGGCCTTCGTCATTTCACCCATAAACACTCTGGTGTGCATCTCAAGGAAAGAGACTGTGGTCACTGACCGTGTTCCTCTATCTTCCCATGTTTCCCAGAAGCTGGTGGCTTGATCTGGCTTGATTTGAAACTCGAGAGATTCCACTTCTGTTGGGTCATCGTGTGACTCCTCCACACAGGGCCTGCACGCCTGCTGGTCCCCAACTGGGCAGGACCCTCCGTCACGTGGGTGTGCATGAATGGAGAGGTTCTGGAAGCCTGTGCTGGGCACGTCCAGGGGACACTCCCCCCTCCACCCCTCGGCTGCCCAAGGGCCAGTCTCATAGGACAGGCAGCACCAGGCCCGCTTCTTCCCTGCACTGGCCAGTGTCACAGTCAGGAACTGGTTTCCTAGGGTCCCCCGAAGGTGAGCAGTGAGGTTAGGGCATGTGTGTGTAGACACACATGTGAGTGAGTGTGAGTATGAACAAGTGTGAGTAGATACGTGTGGGTGAGCGAGTGCGAGTGGATACGTGTGTGAGAGCAAGTGTGAGTAGGTACATGTGTGAGTGTGAGTAGATGAGTGTGAGCGAGTGTGAGTAGATGCGTGTGTTAGTGTGAGCGAGTGAGTGGATACACATGTGAGTGAGCGAGTGTGAGTGGAAACGCGTGTGAGAGCAAGTGTGAGTAGATACGCGTGTGTGAGTAGATGAGTGTGAGCGAGTGTGAGTAGATGCGTGTGTGTGAGCGAGTGAGTGGATACACACGTGAGTGTGAGCGAGTGTGAGTGGATGCGTGAGTGTGAGTGTGAGTAGACGTGCGTGTGTGACTTGGATCGTGGTGGGGATGGGCTCGAGGCGGCCAGCACATCTGCAGTTCCGGTCGGTGCACCAACTCTTCTCACCGATGCCCCATTGCTCCGTCTGCCGTGGGGGCTCCTGAGCCTGGGACCTTCGCCGGCTTCCCTGATCTGGGCTGTCCCCCGACGTTCCTGGTTCTTCGTCTACACGCCTGCCCCTGACCCGGGATCGGCCTCGCCCAGGAGCCCTGCGTCCTTGTGCAGGAAGTGGTGTGGAGAGGCCACGGGGAGCCCGCCTGGTACTCCTTGCGCCTGGCAAGTCCCCACCTGGACATGCTCCACTGGGACTTGTGGTGAACGTGCCGGGTTAGAAGGGAGATTCACCTTCAATCCTCGTTTAAAGTGGCTGCTCAGCGACACGGATGCTCTGGGATCAGATATGTCGGTGTCTATTCGCGTTAAGTCCCTTTTAATGGGACAGTTTATCGTAGCCGGCTTTCAACTAGCTTAAACTACATTACTCAGCCAGGGCCTCTCGGTGTAGCTCCTCACAGGACTGCGTCATAAACCCCCATGTAGCTCACGGGAAGGATGTGAGTTTATTTGCCCTGGCACTTTTGAGGGTGACCAGAGCTCCTGGTGGTGATGGACAGGCTGCAGCTATCGGCAGCTTCTCAGGACAGATGCAGGTCCTGGCACTTCCAGACTTTTCCCGGGTCCACAGCGTTCTCCTCAACCTGCTGCTGTTTCCTCCTCCTTTGTGCCCAGACCCCGACCAGTTGTCACCTGGGAGCAAGGCCAGTGTTCTCTCCTTGAGGCCCTCAGGGTCTCCCACTGACCTGGTCTCCAGCCCACACCTGCCCCCCTCTCCAGGGCTGCCTCACCGCCCACACCCCAGCTGGCTTGTCCGTCCCTGCCTGCTTACCTGCACAGGTGTCGTCTGCTGGTGCCGCCCCACCTCCTTGGGAGAGAGCCTTCAGTGGGAGTGGATCCTGGGGGACCCTCCCCTGCTGCCCCCCATGATGGGGTGTCTGAGTCAGCGTGCAGCACAGAGCTGGGTCTTATTTGGGGTATGGGGAGTGGCAGCCTGCCCTCTTCACAGGGCATCTCTGTCTCCCTGCATGCTCCTGATGGGGGACAAAATACTAGGACCCTGTAATGCTGCGGGCTCACGCTCTGGGCTAGCCGAGGAAAGCAGTGCAAACGGAGATGGCTCCAGCTGCCCCGGGAAGGAGTGATGCGTCCAGCCTGGTCACTGATTAGAGTGCGTTCCACATGTGCTGCCGAAACTGCCTGGAAACGGCACACTCGCTCCCTTTGCGCCAGAGGCTCTTTGTTCTGTTGATTTCTAGTCCAGTTGGGACTTGCTAGGAACATCTTTGCCGTGACACCTCTCTTAGCACCTGCCGGAGTCGAGACTGTCCACGTGGCTGTCGTGGCTGCTCCGGTCGTCTCCCCCGTGGCTCGGAAGCACCGAGTCTGCTCGTACAGGCTGAGGCTCGGGCTGGGCTGCACCAGGCGTGGGTGGACAGTGAGGATGCAGGGAGGCCAGTGGCCGGGCCTGGGATGGACGCAGGTGATGGAGCCTATGGAGAAGAGAGGTGGGCCAGAAAGTGCACAAGGATGGGATGGTCCAACCGGGAGGCAGCCTGGAGCTCAGGACAAGCAGCCAGAGCCCACAGAAGGGTCTGGAAGGAGCTGCAGCAGGCTTCCAAGTCCTGCCCCTCTTAGGGGTGGTTTCTGCCTCCTCTGGGACAGGGCTGAGCCCAGCAGAGAGCACGCGGGCACAGCGTGTGTGTGCCAGGGTGAAGGCAGAGCCGTGGGTACCTGGTCGAGGAGCCCTGGTAACACGTGGGCTCTTAGCCCAGGAAGCCGGGTCCTTCCTGCACCCTGCAGGCTCCCAAAGGTGCCTGCCCTCTCTAGGCAACCTACACAGCACTACACACACACATTCATACACACTCACACACATGCACACACACATCAATAGAACCACTTTCTCCCATCCTCCAAGCAGAGCCTGGGGGGCTCACCATGGGTCACTGGCGCCGTGTCCCTGACTGCAGTATGTCTCTGCCTGCCCGTTCCCCATCTGGTGGGAGGCTTGTCTGTGTGCTCAGGGTCAGAGCCTGTTGTGGTCACTCACACGTCCTTTCCCTCTTGCTGCGAAACTCAGACACCAATGGTGTTCACCACGATGCACATCAGAGCAGGCGTGTGAATGCCTTGTCTGAGGTTTAAATGCGGTCACATACTGTGTCCCACGGGGAATGGCCGAGTGAACCCCATGGCCGCTGGCCAGCCTACAGGAACATGTGTGGCTAATTAACCAAGCAGCTTGAACAGCAGAGCTCCGTGCCCCGACTCGGGTGCTGGGCGGGCTCGGCCACCCACCCAGGGCTTGTCAGCACCCCTCTGTTGGTCCGACGGAAAGGGCACTGCCTCGCTGGGGCCCTTCGAGCCCCTGTCCCAGTCCGCAGTTTTCAGATACACAGGCTGAGGTGCTGGAAATCGCGTGCTCTTTCTGGAACCCCGTGAGAGCCTGTTGTTATTCCACTGTTTGTAGTAGAAGCCGTCCTGGTGACGGAATATGGATGCAGAGTCGGCATGCGGTGTAGACGCACGTCGGCGAGGGACGCCCTCAGAGCCGTGCCATCGGAGCGTGGCCCGCTTTCCGTTAACGGGCTTTGCTGCTTGTTCCTTTCGTCTGCCGGTACAGCCACCAGGCTTCAAGCTTGATTTGTGGGAACACACAGTAAAGTATCCAGTAGCTTGGCTTCTCCGCAAATTGGGAAGAGACGGCCAGCTGTCGGTTTCAACAGCAGAGCAGGTGTGCTGAGCTCCCAGGGCAGTCTCCTCGGAGCCGGGAGCCCGGACGGTCAGGGGCGCCTGAGAGGCGGCCGAGGTGGGACGACGTGTCGGGAACCAGGAGGCGGGTCGTCTACAGACCACCCTCTTTTCCCTCTGCAGCAAAGTCGTCGCGTAATCACAAAGGGTGGACACGGACATGAGGTTTAGCCTAGATTTTAAAAGGAGAGGAAAGGCTCCACTTGGAACTTGTGGGGTTAAAGTGGTGCTTAGAGAACGCTGTGCTTCTCAGTGTGAATACTGGGAAATAAGGCCTCTCTGAAAATAATGCTCCAGGCCTTCACAAGAAGTTAAAAACAGCATCCGAGTAAACTCAGAGTAGAAAAGAGAGACTCTTGAAAGAGCCAAAGTCAATATGATTGACCAGGTCACAGCAGAGGCAAGAACAAATCCAAAGCTCGTCCTAGAAGCAGTGGTAACGTAGAGAAGTGTCTGGCAACATAGGCCAGGGAGTTTTAGAAGGCACGAGTGATGTTAACAACAAAACCATAGATCAGAGCAGGCCGCTGTAAATCCCCAGAGAATGTGACGGGCAGGCTCACTCAGTTATCTTGAAAACGCGCATGGTGGGGAATTTGCTGGGGAGGGAACATCTGTTGAGGACTTCCAGAGAATTCCTCACTGACAAACACTGAAATGAACTCAAGAGAGAAGAGAAAATCCAGGTAAACAGTCTTAGAAACACTGAGACAGCCGCCAGCAATCTCTGTGGAAATTCCTCGGAAGAGGTGGCTCTTTGGTGTCTGATGTTCTTGCTGCAGGATCCGCCCAGAGGAAGGGAGCAGGGGGTGGCGCGGGGGAAGCCAGGGGTCAGGCTCCCCTGAGAACCGGCACCGAATCTGTCCCAGACGCGTGTTAGCAAACAGACCCAGCAATTCCTTAAAAATAGCCTGGCGGGTGGCTCCCCGCACCGTGACCAGGGTGAGATGTTAAAAAGCTGTGAATGCACGCCATTAACAGGCTGAGAACAAACACATCATTATCTTACCAGATATAGGAAAGACTGACAAAATGCGAGACCCGTTCACGACTTCAAGCAAAACAGGGCTCTTAGAAAACCAGGCGTGGGCAGGTACATTCTCTTCAGTGAAGGACATCCGCTGACAGCCTAGAGCGAGCACCCATTGCACAGAAAGCCTCGTCACTCACGTCCACCACAGGACAACAGAGTGCTTATCCCTGTGTCTGGTCAACCTCACGCTGAAACTGGAGTTTCCAGCTGGGGCGATACCCAGCCCCCAAAGAGGAGGAGAGAGAGGGCCGTTAAAATTGTCATTTGCAAAACATGGTTATCTAGATCCGCACTGCCCCACAGGCAGCCACGGGCCACGCATGGCTGTTGGGCGTCTGAGATGTGTCGCGTTTGCATTGAGGTGTGCCATAAGCGTAAACTACACACTGGATTTCCAAGACGTTGTGAAAAAAGTGTGAAGTGTCTCATTCATAATTCTGTATTGAGTACGTGCTGAAATGGTAATATTTCAGATATGTAGGGTTAAATAAACTGTATATTAAGTTAATTTCATCACCCTTGTATTTTTTTAATGTGGCCACTAGAAAATTTAACATTTCACATGTGGCTTGCGTTGTATGCCTACTGAGCGGTGCTGGTGTTGATAGAGACCCCCAGAGAACCTATAGAGAGACCGTGGAGCCGTCAGGATGTGCCCCATCTCAGGTAACAGACACCCGACAAGGAGAGTTGGGGGTGGGGCTGCTCAGGCTTGTTCCGGTGAGAAGCTCGGAGCTGTCACCACAGACGTATGTCTCTTCTCCTGTCTTTTCTGTCTTCTATGCGCCAAAACCTACAGGTTTGAAGTGTGTATTATTGGAAATGATCAAAACCTGCATCTACTTATCATAAAGCTTTTATAAGTTTTATATTTTGTCATCCGTCCCCCACCCCATGTTCTAATTGACCACCTGAGGTCAAGTTCATCACGAAACACTCATTCCTGAGCATCTGCTCTCAGCTGCAGAACCAGAGCCTGGATTTGTGCGTAAAAGCGCTTGGATTGTAGTTACAGCTGTCCATCCACCTGCGAGTCTCCCTGACTTGGCCACACTGCTGAACCTCGTGTGTCCACCCTCGCCCCCGCCCCGTGTTTGCGGCTGTCCCCCCACCTGCAGGGCCTGCCCCTCCCGCCGGCGTCCTCGACCAGTCCCGTGGCGGCGTTCAGCATGCTCCTTTCAAGGCCAGGCTGAGCTGCAGCCCCGTTCTCTGTGGGGCTCCCGCCCTGTGACTTCCTTGGGCTGGAAAGTCACTGAATTCCCCAGTCTTCCTTGTGGTCCAAGGTCCAGTCTTGCGAGCGCCGCACTTGCTACGTTGCTGCTTCCCAGATGGCAGCTCAGCACCTTGCAAGTATCCTCGTGTTTCATAAGGACTTGGGGAGAGCAGGCTGCCTGGTGGGGATGCTGGGGGCCGGGGCAGAGCACCGATGACTCGAGGAGAGAGCTCCCCACCCCGTTCCTAGGCCCCCCCTCAGGAGTGACTTTAGGGAAGGGGGCAGCAGCGTGGCTGGTGACCCTGGGAGGATGTCCTGGCTGCTGACCCCACCCACTGTCCACGAGGGGATGGCACCTGGGCTGTGGCAGGTCCAGCGCCGTCTCCTGGCCAGCTTCCCGCTCCGGGCATCCAGAGGAGCGGTGCCTCGTGACAGTGCTTCTGCCGTGACCTCGCGCTGTCTCCCCAGGTCGCCCTCATGACGCTGACGCTCTTCCCCATCCGGTTGCTGGTTGCCGCCTTCATGATGCTGCTCGCCTGGCCCTTCGCACTCGTGGCTTCACTAGGATCCGCCGAGCAGGAGCCCGAGCAGCCCCTGGCCTTGTGGAGGAAGTAAGTCACTCTGTGTCCCCAGCACAGACATCCCCCCATTTCTGTGTCCCCAGCACAGAGATCACCCAGTGATTCCACGTCCCCAGCACAGAGATCCCCCCATTTCTGTGTCCCCAGCACAGGGGTCCCCAGTGATTCCATGTCCTGAGCACAGAGACCCCCCCATGTTTCGTGTCCCCAGCACAGAGATCCCCTGTGATTCCGTGTCCTGAGCACAGAGACCCCACCCCCACCCCCACCATGTTTCGTGTCCCCGGCCCTCCAAGGCTGCGTTTTGACCAGCGTCTGTCCCACCCACTGCCCCGGTCTGGTCTCCGCAGGATTGAGTGCCCTCTCGCTTTTACACCTTGAATGTTAATAAACCACAGCTATCTGAAGATGGACATGTTGTGAATACGTCTTAACTGAAGATCCAACATGGACCCCCCAAAATTAAATTAGATCACAGCGTTTTCTTGTTTCTTTAACCCCCTGAAGCTGCTCTGTAGCTCAGAGTATACGCCGTCAGTTGAGGGTGATGTCGAGAGATCGTGCAGATTTGATAGGTGCTTGCAGTATCTTAGGAGCTGTCGTTCTCCTCATAAAACCAGTGCTGACAACCTTCTGTGTCAGCTTCTCCATCACCACGTGGGGTCCTTGAACGGTTTATTCAGAAGTAGAAATGTTATTGGCTTAGTGTGGTTGTTGGCGAAAGGGCCCACAGGCCAAACCCGCTGCCACCCATTTTGCAAATAAAGTTTTATTGGAGCCCAGCCACACTCGTTTGTGCGCCCTCCAGGCCTGCCTCCCTGGAGGTGGGGGTGCTGTGGCAGATGCTGTGTGGCCCGCGAAGCCTCAAGTATTTGCTACCTGGCCCTTTACAGGTTTGGCGCATTGGCTCGTCCTCCTGCTTTCTCTAGAAAGTGTCTGAGCTACAGGCACATCGACGCCCGTGAGAGGCTGTGGGGACTGGCATCTGTCCTGAATGCTGGCTCTCCCGTGCCCACATGCCGTGGTCAGACACAACATCACATGCCGGGGTGAGGGGGTGGGGGGCAGCCAGTTAAGGTCAAGGGTTTGCTGAGCTGCTGATGAGCATGGCACGGCCAGGCTGGGGGCGGTCCAGGTGTCCAGGGGACCCTCACGTGGGTCTTCGTGAGCCCCTCCTCATGGTAGCTCACGTTCTTACACCGTTCTCAGTTTCAGATGAACCACCGTCTCTTCCTACCTAGTAGACCTGAAGGCAGGCCCGTCTGTCCCCAGCACCATGCCTGCCCTGGGGTGCTGGGAAGTGGTCCTGAGTGAGCGAGTGGGATGAGTGAGTGAGCGAGCGAGTGAATGAATGAGTGAGTGAGCGAGTGAGTGTATGAGAGCGAGTGAGTGAGCGAATGAGTGAGTGAATGAGCGAGCGAGTGAATGAGTGAGCAAATGAATGAGTGAGCGAGTGAGCAAGTGAGTGAGTGAGTGAATGGAGGAGGAGGCAGCGATTGCTGCTGGACAGGGCTATCACTGTGGTCACCTGGGCCCTGGGCACCACTGGCATTGAGATCTTCATTTTCCCCTTATAGATTTTCTAATTTATCCTTGAAGACCACACTTTACCTTGAGGGTTTTTTTTAATGTTTTAACCATAAAATATGAGTTGAGTATCAAATGTGTAATCAAACACCATAAATCTAGACCCATCAGAAATCACTTCCAGTTTTGCAGGGTTAGACCTGTAGTGAGAGAGCAGAGACTTTGCAGTCTGGGCAGACTACAAGGGATCTGATTAGAGTTTGGGGCTTTAGTGCTGGTGGGTTCACGATGCTTCTGGCACTTTCTGTCTCAGTTCCCGGTTCCTCCCGCCCTGTGCTCGGGCTGAGCTCCCCGCTGTCCTCCGTTCTCTCCCAGGACGTGGGACTCCTCACACAGCTGCAGTTTCTGTCTCCCAGATCCATGACTCTGGATGAGTTCCCATGTCCTGTGCTGACTCCACGTGGCTTTTCTTGTCCTCAAATAATTTGCTTGGCCTCATCGGGTAATAAATGGGCCACAGAAACTAGTTCCAGCAGCCCCTCTTCACAGACGCCTCAGACGTGTGTAACGGGCGTACGAAGCATCCACACAGGGAGGGGTGGGTTCTTAAGTGTCCGGAGAGCTCAGGGTGTCTGGGTCCACCGAGACTGACTATGTGTCATTCCATGTGTGTGTGCATGTATGAGAGTATGTGTGAGCGTGTGGCATGCGTGAGTGTATGTGTGTTACATGTAGATGTGTGTGTGCATGGTGGTGCATTCGTTTGCGTGTGTGAGAATGTATGAATGTGTGTGTGTACGTGTGTGTGCATGTGTATATGTGCGTGTATGTGTGAGCATCTATGTGTATACGCGTGTGATGTGTATGAGTGTCTGTGCGTGTGTAAGTGTGTATAGATGAGTGTGTGTGTGAGTGTGTGCACTGTGTGGAGCACTGTGTACATACGTGTGTGAAGCACATATGCGTGTGTGCACCTGCATGTATTTAGTGTGTGTGCTCGAGCTGCACACAGCCCTCGGGGTCTCTGTGCAATAGTGTTTGTGGAGCGCTCACTCAGTGCGCAGCCCTGGGCTGGGTCTGGTGCTCGAGGAGAAGCGAACAACAGTCAAACTGTACTCCTCAGAGGACACCCAGTGACAGAAGCGCCTGACCTGGGGACACAGGGAGATAGGAGGAAGCAGGTTGTGAACTAAGCGGGACTCAGCATGTGCCACACCTCTGCTCAGGATCCTCATGTGGTCAGCTGCTTCAGGCTACGCACAGCCAGCGTTTTGAGTAGATTGACGTTAGTTAAGAGGATTTTTGCTGAATATACATTAGTGTCATTCAAACCTTCCTAAAATAGAAATCTTGAGTTTTCAATGAAGAATGACACAGTTTCACAAAAGACACTTTATTCTAAGTTGCTTTCAAGACGCAGCGTTGTGAGAACCATAGCATCTTCTTACAAACCTGACCAGGGGCTGACGCCTGAGCCAGACCAAGCGGGTGGACGGTGACAGTTGGTCCTCTGGGTGCTGCCCTTCAGCCGACGCGCGTGGTTTAGAAAGAGGGTGTATTGGTCCACTCAGGCCGCCATAACCAAGTACACAGATGGGGCCTTGGCCTTGGATAAGACACTCATTTCTCAGGGTCCTGGAGGCTGGACGGCCAAGAGCAGGGTGCCGCATGGCAGCGTGCTGGTGAGGCCTCTTCCTTGCCTGAGGACGGCACCTTCTCCTGTATCCTCACTTGGCTGCCAGCTCTGGTCTCTCCTCTTCTCACAAGGACACCAGCCGTGTGGGATCAGAGCCCCACCCTTATGACCACCTTTCACCTTATCTCCAAATACAGTTAGTTTAGGGGCCACGGCTTCAACATGGGAATTGGGGAGGACACAATTCAGGCCATCGCAGAGGGACCCTTTCCTGAGTGCTCCGTGTGGGGACTTCGTCCCCATCTCCTAGGGGCCAGGTGCACACTAGAGGTTGGAGCCTGAACTCAAACTTGCTTTAGTTTTTTTCCACTCTCCTGAAAGCCGGCACACCCCCACCCCCACCCTCAGCGTCTCAGCTTGGGGCTGCCCCAGAGAAGCCGGGCAGCCCCCAAAAGCCCCTCGGTGTCTACGGCCCAGCATTGCCTCCCACCTGCTGCCCAGGACCGTGCCTGCTCCCGGATGGCCTGTCCCAGCACTGAGCACGTGGCTCCTTGGGGCTGCTCCAGGGTACAGCCCCGGGACCCGCCTCTCCATCGTCAGGGGTCAGTGCTCCACTCCAGAGCAGTCCCAAGAGCACACAGGCCAGCTGTCACCTCTGCCACTGCCAGTCTGTGGGCTCCCTGTCACAGCAAAACCGTTAGAAACATGCAGATTCCTGCCCTCCGCTCCCTGTCAGACCCACACGGATCGGGCTCTCGCCCCACTCCTCACACCCTGGTGTTGAGGGCACTGAGGCCTCAGTGTGCCCCAAGGTGGTGTCAGGACGCCCCCTCCACCTCCTGGTGGCCTCCTCCCCTGCGTGCCCTTCTCGGCTCCTCTTCCCCCGACCCCGGCTCCCTCTTCCATGAGCTCATCTCGTTCTGGGATGTCGATGACTGTCCACAAGCCAGTGGCTCCCAGACCTCTCCTCCAGCCCAGGCCTCTCCTCCAGCCCAGGCCTCTCCTCCAGCCCGAACCCCAGAACTTACCTGTCTGTAGGTGATCTCCAGCTCCACACGTCCAACCAGGACTCCATGCTTCCAGCTCCCCACCTGTTCTAGTCACAGCCCTGCCTCCATCAGTGGTGACTCCACCATCCTTCGTGGCCCGGGCCAGGCCCTGGGAGTCACCCTCTCTCTCACACCTCCCATCCATCCCAGCAGGAAACATCTTGGCTCCCCCTTCAGAACGCCCTTGACCCCTCCACCTGGTCCCCCTTCCCTGGTCCCCTCACCATCGTCGCTCACCTGGGTCCCCAGAATAGCCTGTCACCTGCTCCCCTGTTTCTGTGTCTCAGCACAGCAGCCACGGGGTCCTCTACAAATGGAAGTCAGAGCACAGCTCTCTGCTCTCAGCCCTGCAGGAGCTCCCATGTCCGGGTCCCCCAGAGCACAAGTCTCATCGTTTCAACGCCTATAAGGCCCTCATCATCTACTGTCCCTCCCCCATCCTCCTCCTCCCTCCTCTCCAACCACACGGGCCTCCTCACCATCTCACCAACACTCAAGTGCCCTCCTGCCTCAGGGCCTTTGCACAGCTGTCCTCCTGGGAGAGTGCACCCAGATGTGCACAGGGTTAACTCTTCTTCCCATCCAGTCTTCACTCAGTCATTTCCTCCTCTGCTGTTTCTGACACTCCTCACTTTGCTCTCCTTTTATTTTTATTTTTTCATGGACAGTATCTCTTTCTAATTTACTCCATAATTCACTAATTTTTTAAAAATTCTTATTTCCCCCACTAGAGGGTGAGTTCCAGGCGGGCAGGGATTCCTGTCCAGGTTCACCGATGCATCCTCAGTGCTTTCTAAACCCGGGCCCGGCAGAGCAGGTGCTCGGTAAACGTCAGATGAATGGATGGATTTTCCTTTAGTCCATTTTCTTATTTTTATCTGAGTAATACATGTGCGTCGTTAGAACACAGCAGCGAAGGAGAGCAGGTGCTGGAAAGCAGGTCTGCAGGCCCGCCTGCCCGCCCGGTCCTCTGCAGTGTCCGCCGTCCGCATCTGTCTGTGGTTGTCCTGCCGTGGCCCCCATGATCCTGAAACATGAGCTGTCAGCTCTCAGTCCGTGTGCACAGACCCCCGCTGCCACCCGGCGCACGTGCACGCCGCAGGGCCACCTGGTGGGGCGCGTGCTCCGGTCACAGGCACGGGCGTTCCTCCCTCACCCCGTGAAGTCCCAGAGTTAGGGCACCTCAGCTCACCTTGTGTTTGAACTGTAGTTGCTGGTATTCTTTTCTTCTTTACAGAATTTCTCAATACCTTTCATTTTGCCTGTTACAAAAAGAATAATGACCCTGAGCGTAGCCTCAAAATACTCCACCCTCGCGGTCACGCAGAGGGTCCTGGAGCCCAGCTCCCGCCGTGGCGCCGTGGTGCTCTCGGCTGGATGTGGTGCCTTCCCGATGCTCTCTTGGGCGCAATTTACAATTTCCTGGGCCCGTTTGGTTGGGGTTTTTTCCCCTTGTTTTTTGCCCAAGACCCTGGAGTTTCAGGTTCTTTTCTCAGCACGAGGAACCCGGACGCGTTTTGTGTCTGAAATGTCTTTACTGTCCCCACGCGGTTGCTGGATAACTTGACTGTCCCATCTGTGGAACTGCAGGTTCCAGACCCCACGTCCCAGAGCCTGTGGGTGCGATCCTGTTCCTGCCGACACCTGCAACAGCGCTGCAGGACTAACCTGTTCCTGCCTCTCTGGGAGGTTTAGTCTTTTCTTTGTCCCTGGTGATTTGAAAAATTCTTAAAGGAAATTTCTCAGTATGAAACTTTTTTTAAGTTCATTCTGTTCAGCACCTCCACACGTGTGTTTACTCAACTCTAAGAAACCCTCTTCTTCAGATGGCTTATACTTCTGTCCTTGTTTTCCTGCGTGTTCTGGAGATTTCCTTCTCCTCGTTTTCCAGTGAACTGGCTATTTCTGCAGTGAGATATTTGATTTCCAAGAGGATTTTCTTTTTCTTACTCTCTGCCTTTTCAGAGGACCTGCTCTCCTCAACTCTGTGGCCACACTGATCGGGGGTGTTCAGACCTCTTCTGGTGCCTGCACTGTGGTCTCCTCATGTCGTAATCCGTTCTCTCACGGGGCTGGCTCTGCTCATGTGTCTCAGATTCTCAGGTGTCCTCCCGGTGACGAATGGAGGATGGAGTTCCTTGTCTATGTAGATCTGTCTCTGATTCACTGTCCCCTGGGGAAGCTCTGGTCACCTCGTGCTTGTCACCGGCTGCCTTTGCCTTGGGCCCCAATTTTGCACAGTGAACAGGGCTTTTTTCTGAGGCCAGCGTCCACATGGCCTTCCCAGTGGGTAGTTTGACTGGGGATAGAATCCCTCCAAGATCTTTAGAGGATTGTCAGAGTTGGTTTTTTCCCTCCCAGTGCATTTCTCTTGAGTACTCTTGGACCTTTTGACCCGAGGGGTGGTGGGTGTGTCGCTAATAGAAAGATCGAGATTCATCCTCACTTTCTTCTTCCTTATGCATTAGTGGACATCTACTGGCTTTTATTTTTGCGCAGGTTTTTAGGTGAAAAATAGCATGCCTGCAGAAAAGTGCATTAAAAATGTGCAGTTAAACAAATAATTTAAAAGCACGTACCTGTGTAACCACAGCCAGCTCTGGAAACAGAGCATCAGAGCTGGTCTCCGGCATCCCAGCGCAAACCTCTCCATCACTGTTTGTCACCCACACAGACAGGGCTTTTCAAGGTGGCTCCTTCAGGGGCTCCGTGCTGCTCCAGCGATTGGCTGCTGCTCGGTCTGCAGGGACTCGTCTTCCGGAATTCTCTTGAGAGGGTTTAAGCTCCTTGGGAAATCAAGCCAGTAAGGTTTTAGGCTCTTGTGTTTCTTTGTGGCATCTTACCCAGTTGATCACCCACGTAACCCAGCAGCCGAGTGAGGGGACGTGGCTCTTTATAAAGGTGCCACCTTTTCCCTGTCAACTGGCAGGTGTGTGGCCATTCCCCCATGTGGTTTCAATGATGTATTAAATAATGATGCAGTCTGTAGCTGTCAGAGATTACCATGAAAGGGAATGTGTAAATTTAAATGCCTAAATTCCCATATATTTTAAAAATAATAAATAGGAAACAAATTCTGTTAATCTACACTGACTTACTTTATTTTTCAAATTTATTGCCTGTCTAATTTTATCCAGAAAAGGCTCATTTGAATAATGTGACGTCTGATTCCGGGAGCCTCAGGCAGCTGGGGAGATGAGACTTGGGACTTTTACACGGCAGGTCTCTGCTCCTGCTCTCAGCTCTGGATTTCACTCCATATTTCAATATGGATTTAAGGTGTTTGATTTTTTTTTTTTCATTTTAAACTTATGTACTTAGAATGCTAGTGACTCACTCTCTAGCACTTAAGGTGCTGGTGTCTTTCATTTTACCTGTGAGCCTTGGCCTGTTGTGTTTGGGGTCCCGTGTGGTCTTTGTGCTGTGGTGTCACGCGGCAGAGACGGCCCCTCGGTTCTCTCGAGGAAGTGACTGCACATCCACGTAGTCAGAGTGGGAAGAAGGCACGGGGTCCGTTCCTTCCTGCTCGGACATCTCTGTTACGGCTCTGGCAGGTATGAGTTGGCCTGGCCCACACCCTGGACCGGTCGGCAGAGGTCGGCAGAGGTCAGGCTGGGGTCCCGGTGCCCTGACCAGGTGTGGAGAGCACGGCTGTGACCCGCCCGCCCAGCCGTCTGACCCCGGCGCCCTCTCTTGCAGGGTCGTGGACTTCCTGCTCAGGGCCATCATGCGCACCATGTGGTTCGCCGGCGGCTTCCACCGGGTGGTCGTGAAGGGGCGGCAGGCCCTGCCCACCGAGGCAGCCATCCTCACCGTGGCACCACACTCCTCCTACTTCGATGCCATCCCCGTCACCATGACGATGTCCTCCATCGTGATGAAGGCAGAGAGCAGAGACATCCCGATATGGGGAAGTGAGTGAGCCCCCCGCCCTGCTGGGAGTGTGAGCCCCCCACCCCTGCTGGGAGTGAGCCCCCGCCCCACTGGGAGTGGGTGAGCCCCCCAACCCTGCTGGGAGTGGGTGAGCCCCCCCCCCGCCCTGCTGGGAGTGTGAGCCCCCCATCCCCCTGCAGGGAGTGAGTGAGCCCCCCGCCCTGCTGGGAGTGTGAGCCCCCCAACCCTGCTGGGAGTGGGTGAGCCCCCCCCGCCCTGCTGGGAGTGAGTGAGCCCCCGCCCCACTGGGAGTGGGTGAGCCCCTACCTGCCCCGTTGGGAGTGTGAGCCCCCCACCCACCTGCAGGGAGTGAGTGAGCCCCCCACCTGCTGGGAGTGTGAGCCCCCCACCCCTGCTGGGAGTGAGTGAGCCCCCGCCCCACTGGGAGCAGGTGAGCCCCCACCTGCCCCACTGGGAGTGTGAGCCCCCCACCCACCTGCAGGGAGTGAGTGAGCCCCCCACCTGCTGGGAGTGTGAGCCCCCCAACCCTGCTGGGAGTGGGTGAGCCCCCCCCGCCCTGCTGGGAGTGTGAGCCCCCCATCCCCCTGCAGGGAGTGAGTGAGCCCCCCGCCCTGCTGGGAGTGTGAGCCCCCCAACCCTG